AAATTTTGTATAATATGATGTCATGGGGTAGGACTGGATAAGTTTGACTTCTTCCTACTCCATTCAAACATGTAATAGGTGTAAGCAAACTGATTTTGAATTAGCATTGGTTGGATATGTGAAATCATGTGTGTTATTGTCATTTGTTCATTGTTCTGTTCTGCATGTTTGAAAGAATAAATCAATCAATCAAAAAGGCAGAAATTTGATTACTTGACTTGATGGAAAGATTGCTTCCTATGACAGTGCCACGTTAAAGTTACTGAGCTCTTCAATACGGCCTTTTCTACTGCTAATTTTTGTCACATCAGCTTACACATACATATGCTTAACTCTACGCAGCCAAACCCACTAATACATGCTGTGAAAACATTTCTGGCAATATTGTGTACATCAGACTGATTAAGTAATACCGGTAACTGTATTTGAATACTATTCTCATACCTTTCTTGACCATCTACTTTTTCATGTTCAACACCATTTTACTTCATTATTATAGTAATGACTGCACGCAGAGTGCTATATATTTATTTATCCTTTACTGTGCAGAGAATAAGAGATGAAACATAATTTCAACAAAATTATCCATAATCAGAGTACACTTAATATTTGAAAACTTCACTTGAAACATTCTTATTTTACCAGGTGTGAAAGAGCAGTATTAACACACAAAATTCATAGTCATTTGACATATCTAGACACAGCATTAAAAGATAATAGACTCAAACCGTATGTCGATTACCATTCCAACATTTACAGTAACTCTGTAAGTGAACTATATAGTTTTAATATGGTCCACTATCACTGCAATACTGTCACAAAAGCATTAATCTTAAACTTAAATGCCCAGAGTTTTATTTCATCTAATAATAGTTTTAAAGGGACCATTTGGGTCTACCAGTAAAGACCATCAGACCCTTTGAGATGTGGGTGACCCCTGAGAGGAGAATGACAGGAAACCTAAAATTAAATAAGCATAGCTGGAATAGAAAATATCCGTCTCAAAACAATACAGTGAGGAGTAAAAAGTTTAAAATGGTGACAATGCAGTGGCAAATATGACAATGACTTTACCATTAATTAAAGCAATTCTATGTGCAGTTTCTATTGTTTAGGTGTGTAAAACCCAACACCTTCTCCTGGAGGATTCTTTCTTTGCGTACAAACAAATGCACTTTTCTGTGATTTATAAAAAGCCCATTCACATAATAAGCACATCAGCATGCGGAGCAGGGGATTGTGATGATGGAGCACCTCTGTGTGTTCAGCTGCACCACTGCAGGTGAGGAGCACTACCCTCCCCAGTACAAACCGTGTGAGAGAAGGTTTGGGGGAAAACTGAATGCGAAAATGTACATTGATGATTACAACACACCTATACACATACAATTTAGGAATATAAGAAATAGGGGGAGCTGGACCATCATTCCTTCTTAGTAAGAAATGTGATATGTATTGAACTCAGGTAGCTTCATCCACCCAAAAGTCTGGCAAACCTTTTATGTTATCACTTGTAAAATAAACTACAAATATAAGAAATATGTTTACTTTTTTTTAAAGTAATCCACTAGAAATATCCTTATTTTCTAAAGCTACAGCCACCAACTGATTAGTTTAGCTTGGCACAAAGACTGAAAACAAGAAAGAAGTTAGCCTAGCTCTACAGCACCTTTAAAGTTCACTGACCAACAAGTGTTTAATCCAAAAAACAACCTAAACTTCCAGTCTTTATGCTAAGCTAAGCTAAGATGCTGCTGGCTCCAGCTTCCCATTTAATAGACAGACATGACAGTGATGTCTATCTTTTCATGTAACTCTCGAGAGGAAATGACTTAAACATATTTTTCACCATGTTGAACCGTCTCTACCGTATTACACGGTATCAGTAAGGGCAACACTTCCAAACCATCTAATTACATTTAAGGCCATTCAGATTCTTTTAGATTATTTGGTAATTCTATAAATACAAGAATCCACTCCAATGAGCAGATAAGATCAGATCACTGAAACTAAAAGTTGATTTACGGTTGCCGAGTTCCCCAAGCTGAGTGAAAGTCTGTACCTAAGTTTGTTCACTCAAGTCAGTAAATAAAATAATTATTTTCAAGCCCAAAATAAGAGACGTTCATTTACTGTATGTGTGCAAAGATCTTCAAAAGCCCAGATGTAGTGCACTGTGCAAGATCACACCATGTTGGTTTGGGTGCTGGGGCTGCGACTCTGCAGATCCTGTACCTGGTCAAGAACCCAGCTGATGTTTGGTCTCTCCTGAAGATTAGGTACCATTATGGAACTGAGCAGCATCTTCAGGCCATTTGAATACCTGGGCATAAGAAAGGCAGACAAATTAAAATAACCTACAGTAAGTTTAGTTTGATCCATATGTAATTATACTAAAAAGGGACTTTTAAACTTAAGCACAAGCATGTATCATGAACACCACCAGCAACTCACTCCCAACCCAGAGGAAGCAGTCCACCATTTTCCAGCAGAGCACCATGTCCTCAGAATGAGGTGAGTTCATACACAAAACAAAGCTAATCAAAACAAAAAAATGAACCCAAACTGGATTTCCACATTGCATTTTAGTTCATTCATTCATTCATTTTCTACCGCTTAGTCCCTGAAGGAGGGGGGGTCATCTGGCGAAGGCGGGGTACGCCCTGGACAGGTCGCCAATCCATCGCAGGGCTAACACAGACAAACCACACACATGCACACACACTCCTGTGGGCAATTTAGAGACACCAATCAACCTAACCTAACCATTTTAGTTCAATCAAAGGGAAATATTTTTATTCAGTTAGTGTAGTGCAAGTCGGACTCCTTGTTGCAGACTAAAAATGATAATCAGTAAATGCAAGGAAATTCAAGTGGAAAGAAAAATCATGCTCTGTCATGGCAACGAATAATTACAAGTTGGAAAACATTGTCAAGTTACACCATTAAAAAAAACAAACAAACAAAAAAAACTTCAGTCTAAAGACTGACCTGCAAGACTGTGGGATGGCCACTGGATTCTGGACAGCCAGGGCAACACTGTCCCCCTTCTGAAATGTCAGGTCATACGGCCCCTCCAACATCATCATGCAATAAAGCACACAGCCAAGAGACTGCAGGTGTATGGGAAGGCCGCAACAGATGAGAAAAAGTAGTACTCAGTGAAAGATCCACAGCACTTGCTTTGAGAGACCTGGTGATGTCACTTAAGAAAACAACAAGCACAAACCAGAAGAGATGAAGAAGCTGAATTTACCCAGATATCAGTGCGCTCATCTATAATGCAGTAGCTCTCTACACTGAAGAGTTCAGGAGCCCTGTAGGAAATGGTACACCGCTGGGCTGCCCAGTCCTGTATGGCCATGGCTTCCCGGGTACCTCTAACCTGTAATAAATTCAGGTTTATTAAAATTACGATAGGGTAAGAATCATTTTGAGGGCACAGTGTTAGAAGCCTAAAGAACATGCAGCATTATCATGTAAAAGACAAGACAAACTGATGCAAGGTGGATGCGACAAGATGAAAACAATAATTCTATTCAGTTACAAAGTCTTTACTGTAAAAACAAACATTCAAAAAAGAGACATAAATCAGGATAAAGGAATTAAAAATATTACAACAAATAGCATCACTTAAGAAAAAGCCACAATTCATCCATTATCTATACTGCTTTCAGAATTTGAAGAAGAGATTTAAAATCCTGATATTTCCTGCCTGAATTTCTCAGGGGAAAAATAAGGCAGAGCAACAAACATCACTGGATGCAATGAACAAACATAAGAAACTTCCAAGCAGCAAAAAAGAAAATATGACGATGAAGCAAACTATGGAATTAATCATGTTAGAAGATCAGCCCAGAGTAACGTCACCATCGTGCTTCTGCTCAGCATATGCTGTATTGCATTTTTTACATTGGTACATCCAGGAAGTTATAAGCTGCAGTCTAAGACATGACAATTCTAATAGCTGCTCATTTTATGTGAAACATGGTATTTTTTTAATGTGTGGTTCACCAGCATTAAAAATGTTATGCTGCCATCTAGAGGTGAAAATCCAGGGTTTCTTTCTAAAATAATGTGAACTGGGGTGTGTATTCACTCTCATAACATGAGCTGCACAAGGACTTGATGACTTGGCACTAAATGTTATGTTGCTGTATTAAGTGATCAAACATCACGTGATGATGACACCGTTTATCTTATCTTATTTTGATTGAGTTGTCCTCATTTTAAAAAACACTTTTTTTTGTAAATTGTCATAAAACTATCATTACATGGGCATATCTAACATTTCATAATAAAAACTACTCAGCAATGTTTAATAATGGTCAAGATTACTTAATATTAACAGACAAAATAATGGAAGTGGCTATGGCACTGCACTCATCCACAGTAAGAGTAAAAATTCACAAGACGCAGCATATTCCTTTTGATGGTACATAAAGAACAGACTGTGGGGATGTTACTCATACTCCAAATAAACTAATTTGGACTTTGGTGTTTGACCAATGATAACAATGCTTATAACATCATCGGTAAATCTTCAGAGACCTTGCACTCTTACCTCAATCCTGGCACGGTTCATGGAGCCCAGGTCCATCAGAACTGGTCTGTCATCCTCATCCAGAAGCACATTTGTGGGCTTCAGGTCTCTGTTAAATCATAGCAGACACATGGCATTTATTCAGATATCTGCAATTTTGTTAAAACAAAAATGACACATAGAAGCTGCTATTTGGAAAACTGACTAAAGTACAACCTAAATATTGAAGATGGTCTGGGAGACAGGAATGATAATTCCTAAATATTTTGCATTTCTTTGGTAAGTTAAAGGTTGTTGACAATAAACAGAAATGTCTTTTACAAGCTGAAGGATCAACCACAATAAATGTGGAATACCTTCATTGTGATATAAAGTGTAATCCAGTTCCTTCAGATAATCCTGACTAGGTGAGGTGCACAAATTCCTGCACATTCCACTTTTTTTTTTTTTAACCCCAAACCATACAATTAACAATCTAAATGTAATTCTGCAGAATGGTTTACATGCTATTTTCACTTTTACTAATACAACAGACAACATGACAAGTAACTGCAAAACATTGAACACACAAGTATGCATTTCAAGATAGTTTATACATTTTATATGTATATTTTAAGTGAAAGCCTAAACAAAGAAAAAACTATTACAATAGATTTCCATGTGTAATTTGATTGGCAGAAACTGGGCTCTGCACCAGAACACAATGTTTGGAGGTCCATTTTGAGCTATAATTGGTACAAAAGCAGCTATGTACACTTTATAAACAGATGTAATTCCCCTTGCGTTAAAAACTAGGTTACCTGGTAGAGATGCTGGTGCTGGCTTGGTTTTGCTGCACCAGCATCCATTGCTTCTGGAAAACTGCATATGCTCTATTCTCATTTAAACAGACTGAAAAACAAATGTATAAACTCTCATTCAAACTGTGCAAAGATGGTTATTATTCTGTTCCATATGGTGTCTGATTCATCAAACATTTTAGTGAGCGATGGTAAGTGAGCCCATTGTATTATTAACATTAAAGTAGTATCTCAAAGGTCAAGATAAATATACATGCTTGTTGCTAATCTGTGACTTTTACTTTAATAATCCATTACTTACACTGAATCCTGCATCTGTTGATGCTAATCATAAAGTAATGCAAGAGCTGCAGATTTCCAGAAAGCAAGTAAACAATATATTGGTATGCGCATATAAATGTTTACTGTATGTGTATGTTTGTGCAGAGAGATTACCTGTGTGCATAGCCTTTATCGTGAATAGCCTTGACTCCAGAGCAGATGCCGTGCAAGATATGTAAAATCTGTTTTTCAGACAATGAGCTCCCCTTGTCTCGTAGCTTCTCCAAAACAGACCATAAACTGCCTTTCTGTTCACACAAATGCACCAACATGTCAGAATCTGATCATTTCCTTGGAGGTTATTCTGGTCATAATAACTGTTGTGCTAACTTACTCTAATATAAGGCAGAAGTAACCAGGCTTCACTCTTGCCTCCACGATCAACAAAGGTGTGTGCAACCAGGCTCAAGACATTCGGGTGATTAAACATCTGATGCATCTCCACCTCTGCCTGAGCCTCATGGCGGCCCTCAGAGTCATGGCATAGGATCCTCTTTAAGGCATAGAAGTGCCCATCCTTTGCTCCCTCTACCAGATCAACATAACTGAACCCACTGAAGATAAGACAAGGAGAGATTAGAGTTCAGGAGGAGCTGATTCAGTATTTTTAATTATTTTCAGCAAATTCCATAAACAGACCAATATGAACAACAGCATTAGTCAGTCTCAATGCTTTCCAATTGTCCCGTCTGCCTGTGGCTTGGTGTGCTAGTTTATATTTGCTGCAGCACAACTGTGTATGTAGTACCGGCTCAAAATATCCTACAGAGCCCATGTTTCTTGTAATGAGGGAAGCAGCCATCCAGTGCTACAGTGAGGCTGGGTAATGTGATTTTATTTAGCAACAATGGTCATCAGAGTAATAAGATATATCATTTATTTGGCGGCACAGACAATGCTCAATTCTCATTCAAGTAGCAGAAAATTGCACAGTGATTGTTATTAGTATTTTGCACATGGTGTGATTCACCAAATTCATTATCAGCTTTAGGCTTTTATGAGATTTGTTGACAAATATCACCACAGTTTACCGGACGAGTTAAACTGAGTATTAAGCATATAAAATGTTATCTTACCCTTCATCTAGTTTCTGGACAAAGTAATATTTTTTGTTATCAATGATGATGGTGGTACGGGAGCAAATGCACAGGGTCTGCCCCATCTTGACTGGAACATTGTTTATCACCAAGCTTGTAAAGGCCTGGGAGTAAAATGAAAAATTAAAAAGTTATCTGAGAGAGAAAGCCAAAGAAATACAAAAAAAGTGGTTCAATGTTAACTTGACTTAATAGCTGGGAACATTCAATACTAAAAGAAAACTGGGAGATATTGTAGAAAAACATGTTAGGACAGCTCAAAAAGTGCCAGAGAAGAGCCTTATGTGAGCTAAGGCAGCTCAGCAACAACTAACGCTACGGTAACAGCTTCCAAGCTACAACAAACAAAATGCGACATTTTTGCCCATTTATAAAGTTAAGCCCCACTCCCCGAATAAATATAAACTACTTGACACAATAGGCAACTAAACATAACGCAACAATTATATAATTGTGTAGCAGCAGTGTAGCTTCTTACCAGCTAGCTTTCTATTATCATCATGTTGTTGTTTTTTTTTCTTCTTTTTCTTCTTCTTCTTCTTCTTCTTCTTCTTCTT